TTTATTTATTTTTTCTCTTTTTTTGAGACAGGGTCTCGCTCTGAATTCAGACTGGCCTTGAGCTCACTTTGTAACCAAGGCTGGTCTTGAACTCACAACAATCCTCTTGCCTCAGTCTCCCAAGTGCTAGGATTGTAGGCATGCACCATCACACCTGGCTTGTACAGTTATTTTAAAATTAAGTGTATTTAATATTTTTGTGCTGAAAGCCCTATTTTTTTCTGAATTTTATTTTCCTATGTTGCTTTGAGAGTTGATGTATCATCAGAATGGAGACGGTTAGAAGGAACATTCAGGTTTTTACAGGAAATCTATTTATCAGTTTTTCATTAACAAACAATGGAAAAGATGTTTATCCACCTGAATTGTCTACTCTTGCTATAGTATTCCTCAAAGCTACAAAGTTTCCTTGTTTTTTTCTTTTTGAAAAATGTTTATTTTTCCAAACATCAGTGCTCAATCACTATCTCTGAATCTGATACGCAAGAAGTAGTCAGAATTATACAAGTCTATTTAGGGCATTTTAAAATGTGCTGAGAGAAGAGATCTTTGTTATCTAAAGATATAAAAACAGTATCTAAGCAAAGTGAGGCTTACCCTAGATCGCTCAGTGGGCAATTACAGAAACTGATGGCTAGAAAGAAATGCCTTAAATTGCATGTTTAAAAAACCTGGGAATGCTAATGTATACTTCCTGCCTCTCTCTCACCATAGTGCTCTAACTGTTCAGAGTTTCATAAGTTGATAAATACATGAGCAGATGTGTTTGCTGAAATGTTTGAGGGTATAGCTCTTATGGCTCTGGCACTGAGTTCTCCCCTTCAGCATTAGCTGACTTTTTTCTAAATACATGAATTACTAGATTTTTAAAAGCATGGTTTGTTTCCTTTTTTAAAATGCTATTTCTAATTTACATTGATGCTAGTGGGAGCTTTACTACAAACATGCATTTGTTAAAGTTTTGATTGACATACAGATTAGATTTTGCAAGTTGGATCTCCCCATTTTTAGTCTTGTTTTAATAGAGAATAGGGAACATTATGTTAAGGAATAAAATAACAGTTTTCAGAGAGCTGAATGTATTCTCTCCAAACTATATTTCCAACTCAGTTCTAGAATTTTTTAGTTCCTCACGTTCTCCCCTAAAATACAAGAGAAAAGGAGGTGGATAAAATAGCTTTAGTGAGTCAGACTTTGTCCTTTATGTGGCTTTTCAATCCAGCTAAATGGTGGATAGACAGCTGGCAGAAACTGGTTCAATAAGAATGCATAAAACTCAGAGTTACAACCTGAAATGTTAAACCACTGGAAAGACCACAAATGCATCCACTATTCTGTAAATGCACCCACTATTCTTTGTAATTTCACTTAGCAGAGTAATACATGTTCTCAGGTTTTCAACTTCCCCTTTTACGGAATAAGTGGGTCAGCTTTTCCAAGGCTCTGAGGCAGTCAAGTTGATCTGCAGAATCTGTTCGATTAGGTCAACCTGAAACTGCAAGAAGCAGACGAGATGATTTGGAAGTAAATATCATTTCAGCTCTGGATCACATTGACATCTGTTACAGCATATTATCAAACATAAAACCCCACACGGTACTTGAAATAATGCAAGGAAAGAAAAATGCTGCAAAATGAAATCCTTTTAGATTTAGTCACAAATGAGTAATATTTTAAATCAACTAGCTGATGTCACATTTGTAGATAAAGAAAAACATATCAGCATGTGACAATTTGACTAATAGCTTAATTGGATGTGTTTCTTCAATGATTATTTTTATTTATATGGGCAGGTTTGTTGACCTGTCTTCAACATGAAAAGTGCCCTGCACTGGGATGTCTCCTCTAGTAAATGATGCAATTGAAATAGATGTATGAATGCAAAGTAGATGCAGTGGGAGAACACAACATTACTGCCAAAGAATACTTAATCACTAGAAGACTGGTTTTATTCCCAGAACCTTTACTTTCCTTTCTCTTCCTTTTAGTTGCTTTTTAGCAATTTCACTACTTAGTAATCACGCACATAAGAAATCAAGGAAATATTTATTGAAATTTGGCAGTGGGCTTTTATATTCCAACTTGCTATTCTACTCTCTTTAGAGCTGATTTACATGAATTTTTTTGTGTGGAAACTCACATATAATACAGAATTAAAGGTAAGATGAGGCCAGACCCATCAGACAGATAAAGGGGTATCCATCTATAAGGGATGCTTTATATGAAAATGTAACAAGGGGGGATTTATGTAGCTTAAACCTGCCTAAGGACAACTGGCTGGAAGGATACTGTTAAGCCCCTGGTCACTGAGCCTGACTTTCCAACTAGTAGGCTATGTGCCGATAGTTGCATTTAAAACAAAGATGCAGTTAGATTAATTCTGAAGACATGTAAAATTTAAATTTGTATTTTTTGCCAAGTAGGGTTTATAAGTTTAACTTAAAATCCAAGAAACCAATGATGAGTTCTTTATTCTTTTCAGTTTTCCCAAAGAGTTCTTAGCTGTTCTTTGAAATAACTGTTTGAAAAACAACTAAAAAAATATCACTTAAGAGTACTAAATTAATTCCTTGCCTATTATTCTTATGTGGCTCCTACTAGCCCTGCTACAGAGATATGTAGGGTGGTTCTTTTTGTTCATTTTTATGCAAAATGTTAAATGAAATGCCACTGGAAAATATAAGTAAAATGTCAGGAAGAGAAGCACAGAGCATTTTCTGCCCATGATATTTGAACAACATTGTATGTAGCAGACAGTTGAGTGCATGGTAAAAATAGGATGGATTCTCTCTAGATGAATCTTCTCCACAGAGCAGCACTTTGACTAAAATCGGAATTGAAAATCAGGCATGGGTATAAAATGTTCAGTTTGCTTGCACTTTCCATAAGCATAAATAATTGAAGCAGCATTCATGGTTCTATAATCCACAAAAATAAACTCATTCATTGTCTTAACTTAGAGAAACTCAATTTGACCTGGCAAAATATCTGAGAAAAATGTATTTAGAAAAAGTCAGCTGTATTAACTACACAGTAGGAAAAGGGAGACACATGTTTGAACAATTTGAACTAAATACAAAGATTTTATGTTTATGACACTTTTATTAAAAATAAGGAAGTTACTCAGATATCACCTAAAGTAATGACAGTCTATTTTTCCTATGAGCTCTATCACATAATTTGCATAACCATAATTTATCTTCTTTAGGTATATAGTTCAATGAATTTTAATAAATGTTAGAGATGTGTACTATCACCATAATTTAATAGCATTTTCTTTGCCCCAAAGGATCCCATCTTTTCACTCCATTCCCATCTTAAGCAGCAAGGAATTACTCTCTGTTAGTACTCACCTTTTCTGGATGTTATGCTAAAGACTCTTTCATTTTTCTTTTTCTTCTGGGGCCCTACTGAATCTTTGGTTAGGACATGCTTTCTATCCAGAAGGATTATTGGGTGGAAAACTTAGCACTCAAAAAGTCCTTTCCAAACCTCCTTAGGAAAGCAGTATGATACAAGTTTTAGCTATGGATTGAAGCATACATAGGCTTAATTTCTAGCTGTAAAACTTTCCATAAGGATCATTTTCCTCAGATGTAAAACTACAGTTCTTAGGGTATGGTATGAGGTAATGTCACTTCCTGACACCTAGCACACAGTCAATGTGAACTTTACTTATTATGATACCTAAAATTTTTCACGAAGAAAAGTCTACCCTATTTTTTTAATATACCCTAATTTTTGACCCTGGGTTTGATTTAGTATTTTTTCTGTGATCCACTGAAATAGTCTTATTATCTATTTCCTTTGCATTTGCTCTAAGTCTCTTGGGTTGCTCACTAAAGAATAGGTACAAATCATCATATTATGTACAAGATTGTATTTTGTCCTGAAAACATTCTGACTTTCGCAAAAACACATATTTGAGTGCTTGTGATTGTTTTGTGAGTGATACAAAGAAGACTTAGTCGAGGAACTGACAAGTTTTTGGGAAAAAACAATTCACTGGAAATAAAAGATAAATTAGACATGTAACTACCAGTAACGAGATTCAACGAGTGATGCCTTTTTTTGGTCAGCTGCTTTGCTTCTGAATATCTGTTGGAAGGACCTGACTCTTAAATGCAGAAAAAAACTTCTGGACAGAGAGACTTAGCCAAATATCAGTTATTTCTAGAAATAGCAGGAGGTGGAAATTAACCTATTCCTTAAAGGATGAATGGCATTTTAAGAGGCAAAAAATGGCAAAAAGTGTAATCAACTTCAATTTCATTCATTCATTTAGGTTTTATTCATCACATATAAAAATTCCTGCTTATCTCAATCAGTGTTCACTGGATTTTCTGTAGTGACAAATAATACCAAATGTTAGAGGTTTATAAAAACAATTTTTGACTCATAATCTTGTTCTTGTTCTTTAGATTGGTTTCTTTTGCTTTCCTGAAGTTCTGGGCTTTGTTTGTTCTTCACTCAGGACACATGCTGATCAAACAGCCTCTCTGTGGAACTCAGCAGCCTCACAGCAGTGGGAAGCAGAAAGCACGCAATGTCTATGGATTCTCCCTCGCATCAATTCTCACATCTCACTGGCCAAAGCAAGTTTGGGGTCAAATATGCTGCCCTGCGATGAGCTTGGCAGAGCTGACCAGCTGAATTTTTGAGCAAAGAATGCAACCTAGCTTAGGCTTACATTTTTGCTTACATTTTAAACTGTGAGCTTTAAGCAAAATCATTGCTTTCAGAAAATGTACATTTCCTAAAAGTGTGGGATTAAAGCAGTACCTACTCAAGGCAGAAAAGCTGGTGAAGAATCTTGTAAATGAATATAAAGGAAGACAAACTGGAAAGAACAGATCAAGAAAGGTCCCTTTAATGCCATATAGTAGAAAGATTGGATTCATTTTTAAAATCAGTGGAGTAACTAAGTCATCTGAGGTACAGTGTGATGGTGTATTAAGGTTCCTGAGAGGGAAATAATCATTACAAAATATACGTACAAGTGATTTATTCAGTAGAATTACAGAGTCAGAAGGGAGAAGAGTCCCAGTCGCCATCTGTGGAATCAGAAGTGGAAGAATCCAGTGGTTGTCTGCACACTGGAGTGCCGGAGGATCCAGCAGCAGTTGAACATCGAAGCCTGGAAGCTCATTGCAGAGCTAATCAAAGCGAATCCATGCCAGAAAGCTGAAGAGTTTGTGCTGGAAGGTTGAAGAGTCTAGGCTCAAATCAAGTTAACATATCACAATTAATGATCACAGATGGTTAGTGTTATGTGTCATATTGGATAAGCTGTAGTACTCAGTTATTCAAAGACAAATTTCAGTATTGCAGTGAAGGTATTTTGTACATGAGATTAATATTTACAACCAGTTGTCCCTAAATAAAGGACATGAGTGGGGCTCCTCCAATCGTTTAAAGGTTTTAAAAGCAAAAGTTAAGTTTTAGTGGAGAGTGAATTGTGTCTCAAAACTATAGCAGAGAAATCATGCCCAAATTTCGAGCTTGTTGGTCTGCCCTACACATTTTGGGCTTGACATTTTGCTTGGTTACATGAGTCAATTTCATCAAATCAATTACTTTTTAGATGTACATTTATAGACATGTACATATAGCTATGCATATGTAAGAACTGGTTCTCTTTTTCTGGAGAACCCTGAGTCATCACAGGATACAATGATTCAGTTCTTTATAGATAGAAGAGATAGAGCAGATAATGCAACCTATCTTAGAATGGAAATTAGAATGGAAAGAACTTGCTAGCTGCTCAGAGGTCGGAATGAGAAGGAAGAGATAAAGATGGACACAAGAAACTTTTTTTGGTGAGAATTAATCCTGCTTTTTTTAGTATTTTTATTTATTTATTTATTTATTTATTTTCATTTATTGGTACTGGGAATTGAACTCAGGATCTCACACCTGCCAGGCAGGCTCTGTGCCACTGAGCTATATCCCCAGCCCTAATTCTGCTTTTATTTTTTTTCCTGGAAATTTTCCCAATGCTTTTTCTTTATTTTTATAATATGGTAGTACATTGCTAATATCCCCAATTTAGTTATTATTCATTATGATGTGCATATGTAAAATAGGCTATAAGTTTCAAATATAAATTATTTCCCTTAAAAATATACTGCCCCTCACTTCATCACTAATTGTTCTAAAACTAAAGTATTCCCAACAGATGGAAGACAGAGATATCATCAAGGACTAAGATCTAAGCAAGTGGTCCTGTAAGGGAGTGACTTTTATTACACTAATAAATGCTTATGCTTTGATTTCTTGAAAATACATTACAGTTGTCCCAAATGAATGATAAAGTATTAAAATTTCTCAGTGGTCCCCATCATTATCCCAGTACTGGTGAGATCCCATCAAACACATCTGAAATTCAGGAGTAGAAAAGGCAGTGTCTGCATACTATATCTGTCTCCATCAATTTGATTCTTTCATTTCTATTCTCTGCATTGCCTATTTCTGTAACTCTTCAGTTTCTCTTACAGTTTTATATCATTCTAATCTATAACTAGGTCAGATATTTTAGGGAAATTATTATTGTTTAGTATTCAAGAATGCATTTACAACACTAGATGAAGTTATAAAATTGACAAATTTAATTTTTGTCATATTCCTCTGAGATAATTTGTTATATCCTGTGAAATAAGAAATTTAAAGTCATGTAGTTTGACTAGGAACTAGTCAAAAAAGGAAAGCAAGCAAGCAAGAAAGAAAGAGAAAAGGAAGGAAGGAAGGAAGGAAGGAAGGAAGGAAGGAAGGAAGAAAGAAAGAAAGAAAGAAAGAAAGAAAGAAAGAAAGGAAGGAAGGAAGAAAGAAAGAAAGAAAGAAAGAAAGAAAGAAAGAAAGAAAGAAAGAAAGAAAGAAAGAAAGAAAGAAAGAAAAAGAAAGGAAGGAAAAGGAGAGACAGAAAGGGACAGGTCTCAGAAGATGGAACTGGTAATTATACTAATTTGATCATTACACGTTGTACACATATCACATAGCATTTCATAAGTATGTACAACTGCAAAAATATCAATAAATCTATTTTTTCATAAAAATTATTAAGTTACAACATGGACAAAGCCCATTCTAGTGTATTATGAAACTACAACAATATATAACCATAACAGCAATATATGAAAATGTATCCAATATACAAAAATATATAAAATGTATAAAATATCAAGAAGCTAAAAATTTAGCTTCAAAGAAAATTTTAGTGCTATTGAATGCCCTAAGCATAGTGTTCGGCCTTATATCAGCCCCATTTCCTTACCACTGCTAATCCTAACCAAAAAAGTGACTGCAAATTGAATACCATTTCCTTAGGTATAGGATCATACCTAAGTTCTTCATTATGACCTGTGAACGTGCCTTCTCGTTACTTCAGAGAGTTCTTCCCCATCCTGTTGATAATCTGCAACAACAGTACCAGACTATTTTTAATTTTCAAACTCATGATCTTTCTCCCCAAACCTTTCCTAGACCAGTTTGTGTTAACTCCGTTCTCCCAGGTGCCATGACCAAAAGCATGCAGACTTCCTTGAATACCCCTTTTTTCTCCATTCCTTAGTCCGCTGTCCTGTAAATTTGATTGAATTTAGTTTCAAGATAAATCCAGAATCTAACTGGTTTTTATTATCCTGACCATCCTTGTCAGACCTATGTATCTGAGAGAAAAAATACAGTGTGAGTCTAAAATCAAAGAACAAGAATATCAGCCCCTGGATTGGAAAGAACCAGGTATGCTCACATCAGAGGAGCATGCAGTGCTGCAGAGTATCCGTTAGTTGTGGTGTAACCTAGTCTCTCAGCTCTTCAAATTCTTTTAAATTATCAAAGGTTGTAGTCATTATCTTCTAAATTTAATGTAAATGTCTCTTTTCTTCAGGGTGTGTGTGGGGGTCACCTATGAATAACCCCTGCAATTTGCAGTCACTATTTTGGTTAGGATTAGCGATGTTTGTGCCTAATTTTCCATGTGGTAGCAATAACAGCCAATAAAGTTGGCATCTTGATCTTGGACGTCTCACCCAGAACTGTGAAACAATAAATTTCTGTTGTTTTAAGCCATTGAGTTAGTGGTATTCTGTTACAGCCCCCACTTTTCCTGACTAATTTGTTAGGTTCCAGGGCTGTGCTAGGTACTCAGTCATATCTCTAATTCCAGTCAAATTGCAGTGATTGGCATAGCATTATTATTAATGGCCAGCTTTCTTTTATTATTATTATTCTGTTTTATGGGTAAGCACACTCAAGAAAGCTGTCTCAGCTCCATGACACTTACAGAGCCAAGTTTCCATTTAAATTAGTCTGGCAGGAGCTGGGGGTTGAGCTCAGTGGTGCAGCACCTGCCTGACAAGCACAAGGTTGTGAGTTCGATTCCAGGTACTGGAAAAAAACCAAACCAAAACAAAACAAAAAATTAGTCTGGCAAGGAAGCCAGTCTTACGAATAGTTTAAGGGTCAAGCAAGAGTAAAACTTAGAGCTTTCAATGGCATAGACCACTATTCATAAATGCAGTATGGGTGCCGTAGGTTCACCACCCCAGATGAAGTTTTCCCAGGCACTGAAGAGAGAGTTTAACTGGATAATTATAATATCCCTGCTCATTTACAGTTAAGTGACTCTAGAAACTTCTTGGTGATTTTTGGCTAAATTCTTCATGCACATTTGGAGAAATCAGAGACAATTTTTCTTAATGAGCAGCACTAGGCAGCACCCTGAGCTTCAGTTGGCCGCTGCTGTCCTTGTTACAGGGGAAATGTCACGGATAGCTTTCTGAGAGGTCACTGATCCCTCATGCAGATTTAGGAAATTCTGAGCGTGGGCAAAAAGATCAACTCGGCTGATACTAGCATTGGCCTGCTGATAAGATACATACAGGTATTTCAAAACCATGTTGGACTAATCTTTGCAGGCTGCTGTTACAGGGTATCATGAAGTAGGTGACTTAAAGAAAGGAAATTTATTTCCTCACTGCTCTGAAGGCTGGATCAAGTCCAAGAGCAAGGTGTAGGTGGGGCTGATTCCCAGTGGGGCCTCTCTCCCTCACCTGCGCACGTTCTTGCTGCATCCTTATGTGGGCTTTCCCCAGTGTATGTACAAAGGGCTCCTCAGTGGTTCCTCTTCTCGCAGACCCTCACTTCTATCTGATCAGGCCACCACTTTTATGACCTCATTCACTTAATTACCTCTTAAATGTTCTACCTCCAAATACAGTCACACTGGGGCCTAAGATTCCTACACAGGTACAGGAGGATGCAGGACACAGTTCTGTCCTACTAATAATCATTCATTTTATTTGTATAATATTGCTTTAGTTTTTAATTTCTAAATAGTAGATAATGTGTGTTCACAATTGCACTCTGAGTATTGCTAAATTTCATAGCTACAAACATAATCCATGCATCAATTTATTATTTACTAAGACAAATCACTTAGATGCCTCCTACTTGCTGATTTCTGCATCCTTGTTAGCTAACGTGCAAAGTTACCATTTTAAGGGCACAAGTACAAATATACCACATAATGTATCAACTTGAAGTATTTAATTTTAACTGATATAGAGAACTTGCAAGTAGCTTATTATTTTGTATCATTCTTCTGCTTTACAAACAAAATCATACTACTTTTAAATGTCAGTTAGGTTTTAGTGCAAATCATTTATTAAATGTTGTAGACTCACTTTAAATCTTACCGGGTAACTAAACATTCAAGTAAAGGGGAAAATCTATAGTGGCCTAATTTGAATTATATGTTCTTCTCAACAAGTATAATTGCTATTGACTGCCTAAAGCACTATTGTCTAAGTCATGAATAATCATAAAACATTACAATTGGCACAAGAAAAATGGAATGAAACCCATCACAAAAAAGCCAAGCACAAAATACCAACAACTCCCCCTTCTCCTCTTCCTAAAAGAATAAAGCCATGCAAAACACAATGACTTTATTACCTGGGAAAATGTGCTACATAATAATCATGAGGAGCCTCATTTATAATAGATAGTATTTCACTTCAGGTTTGACATTTTATTCTGGAATGAAGCTCACTTGTTACTCACTGTGTGTCATAAAATAAAGATAGAGACCCTCGGTACCATGCCCTCCCCTCTCATTAACTGAGCTCTTAATTCAGAACTAAAAATATGGATTTTTACTCCAGCTGAATATTTTTCCAGAACCTCCAGAAGTTGGATGTCACAAATGTCACAAGTAGAGTATTGTGAAGGGGAGTTAATGCTTGAAATCAAAAAGCCTCTTGCCTGAGGGACCTCTAGAGCCACTTTGCAGAGTTTACTTACTAAATTATCCTGCACTCAGCCATTGGCACTTGGAGAGTAGGTTCCCATAGAGTCTCACACAGGAGGTAACATTAAGGTAACGTAAAACACATACCATTCTAATATCTGGGTAATTTGTTGAAAATTCCAAAGATTAAACTGAAAGTCAACTCCCTTTGAGTCACAATGTTAAGTTTCATAAATGAATATTATTAGATCCACATGAATATTAACAAGGATGTTTATCTGATTCTGTTTCTATAGCAATGTGTAAACCTTAGGTGAGGTTTTGGACCCTCAACATTATTGCATTTATGGTGGACAATTTTGTGTCCTATGCGGCTGACTTGTGCATTCCAGGAGGAGGGTTAGCGACATCTCTGGCTTCTGTCCAATAGAATGCAGCAAAATAGCTTGAGTTGTGACAGTAAAAAATGTTTCCAAACACTATTTAAAGTCTTATAGGGGGACAAAATATACCTGTTCTTCCAACCACCTGCAGCTCCATACCTTTAGTTAGAGAACCACAGCCTTTGACGGTCAGTTCACTGCCGGATGCATAGCCAAAGTTAGTCCTGTTTTTAAAAAAATCAGATGCATTTTGTTCCTCGAAATGTCCCAGCGGCTGGTGAAAGTGAGAGGCAAAGCAGTTAGAGCAGCAAAGCCAAGTTTCTATTGCCCCCTTTGATGGTTCTCTTCCATAACTACGAAGCCCCTGGGGGACAACTTGAAGTTTTCTATGATCAATGGTAATTAGAACTCTGATTGACCAAACTAACAGCAATCAGATAAACCATTTAAAGTACAAAGGCTTCTTGAGCAGGAAACAGAACTTAAAAGTTAGCTGGTTATGCTGGAGTTATACCTAATTATAAAGAGACCCTAAATTCCCAGGTAGAATGTTTATTTCTCACTTGTGTGTTTTGAAATTTTTTCTGAGCCTCACAGCAACTTACTCCCTTTGCATTTTGATTATTTGCTGATACATATATCTGACCACTGGCTCACGTGCTTTTGACAAGTAGCATTTCTTAAATATTTTTATGTTCTCTATGCTTAGCATATGGGGAAGAGGAATGATTATTAAGTATTTGCTAATTGAGTAAATACGATATCCAATGGTTTATTTAACATTTACTAAATAGTTCCATGTGTTAACATTGTTCTACAACCTGGGAATGCACAGATAAATCACCTTCAATGCTGGTTCTTTGCAAATTCATCTGGAGTGGTGAAAAGAGACTGAAGATCAAGTAGTTGGAGTAGGATAGGTTTTAGAAAGTACTAAAGAGCAAATTGCAAGGCACTTTGAAGAGTAACTAGTACTGAGCTCTATTATTTCATAGTGAAGAAAGCAATACATAACCTTAAGTAATGCTTAATTTTATAAAGCATACATTCATCAGAAGGAAATTCTATATAGAATTATGCTTGGAAACACTATAGAAACATAGAATCTGATCTTTTCTTCTCCAGACTAGGAAATAGGAACATAATCCCTAACAGAAAATATAATTGGAATGAGAGTTCAAAGCTCTGAGCTCATGCTCTAGACTGAAGTACGTGGCAAACTGCTTAGGTTTCATATTTTAATGGATACCTCTACAATTGAGTTCTAATGCTGCTCCAACGAATTATCAAAGTGGTTTAAAATAACTCTAGTTTAGGTTTTTACACTTGTGTAAGTCTGAAATCTGGCACAAGCCTTACCGTACTGCAGTGAGAGTGTCAACAGGGACAAATTCCTTGGTTTGTTTCTTCTTCCATCTTCACATAGAGGAGCATTAAGAGAACCCTCTTTCTAATCCTGTGGCTGTTGTCACAGCTCTTTCTCATAAAATTAGGGAAGTTTCTTTATTTTTAAAGCTCATGATTGGGGGGTACATTCAGAATAACACTGCATAATTACTCTCCTCTCAAGGACATAAGCTTAATCACATCTGCAAACTCCTTTTGTCCTGTAAGGTTGACAGTTCCTGGGACTGGGAAGCACACATCTCTACGGAAGCATTATTCTGTCTGTTACATGGATGAAGTGAGACTGTCTTAGACATTTCTAAAGATAACATCACTCCTGAGCACCCGCAGCAGAGGACCTGCTCTTCTGTGTCATACATTTCCCACATGGAGCCCTTCTAGTGAGGTAAGTCTGTGAAGATCTGCTTCTACAGAGCTTCTTTATTTGTACTTTGTCATCTCCAATGAGAATTTTAAAAAAGAAATTGAGTTCAACTGGAAGGATGAATGAATGATTTGACTATGCATCATTGTTTTCTCGACATTTGAGTATGCTAGAGTACCACTGAAGATCCGCAGGAATTTTCACTGGCTTTAGATGTCTATGAATTAAAAATAAAAATATGGGGCTGGGGATATAGCTCAGTGGCATAAGCGCCTGCCTGGCAAGCGCAAGGTCCTGAGTTCAATCCCTGGTACCGCCAAAAGAAAAAAACAAAAAACAAAAAACAAAGACCTAAAAATAAAAATATGATTGGTACCTCTCAATAAAACAATCACTGACTACAGTCCAAGTGCCATATTGTCAGGAGCAACTCTTATATAATAAATATAAAAAAAAAATTGTCCAGGTTGACAAAGTTACCAGGGAAGAATGTTTTTGTGTCATTTGTTTTTTGGCATTTCTCAGCTTTTTTGCATGGAAAATATTGGTGTCAACATTTGTTTTTCAGTTGTGAGATGTTGAAAATGTGCTGAACCCACAAAATACTCTTTGGATTGAGTTAGTTGTGATGGAAGAAAGGAGGAGAGAAATGGAATGATATGTTATTTTTTGTATTTATGAAATGGCCTGAAATCATAACATTTTCTTTCTAGTAAAAAGAAGAAAACAAATAGAGCACTCCACAGTTTGCAGTTTTTTTAACCAGGAAATTCTGGAATGCTTGTTATGTTTTCACATCCTACTTTCTAGTTTGACAACTCTGTGAGAATTACTATGTTTTGAAAAACACTATTTGGACATTTTCACTCTTATATTTTCTTCTCAGAGATACCTGTTTGCGAGAAACTGAGGGAAGAAAAGTATTGAATCAATAAGATAATTCTACAGTCTTAGAATTTTAAAGTTTAAAGCCAGCATAGCGGGGTTTCAGTTCAACCGTCTGTGCCGCATGGGTCTGCTCAGTAACATCCTATGTAGATGCCTGTCCGAGCATGTTTGACCTTCACCAGTTCATCCCCGTGGCAGTTTCTAGGCTCCTCCCTTTGGATGACCCTCACCAGAAAGCACCGTAACCCTTCACTGCTTTCTTGAACAGCACCTAGTGTGAGGGCCAGTGTTCTTGTTGAGTCTGATCTGTGCAGAACAGAACAGGTCCATCGTCTTCCTTGTCCTCAACCATCTGGAAATCTCTCCATTTGTATTGGCAATCACATAGTAATATTAACACATAGGAGGCCTGTAATCTTTCAACCATACAAAGGTGATGGTGGGTTGCCATGTCTATTTTACACCTAGTTTGGGTACTTTATATTTTTCTGTTTGCATTTGACTCCTTAAAATGGGAAAATTGAGCTGGATGGGGCATGTTATAATCCAAGCATGCGGAGGCTGAGGCAAGAAGATTGCTGTGAGTTCAAGGCCATCCTGGGCTACATAGTGAGTTCCAGGATAATCTGAACTACACAGTGAGACTCTGTCTCAAAATAAGGCGGGGGTGGGGGTTGTGACTGTCATGCAATTTTTTTCCCATTCTTCCCAATGACATCATGTCCATCATTTTGGGAAATCAGTTACCTCGTATACATCATGGCTGCACCCTCCTGCTGGTGGTGTCATCAACCAGTGTGGCTGCTAATTTACTTACATCTGAAAGTCTACGGATAAACCTTTTTAACTGCCTGTCTTAAATCAATCTGTTCCTCCGACAACATGAGATACCTGGCCACATGCTTTGTTGAAATCCAGAAATAGACAATTTTACCATTATTGTTTATGAATACATTTCATTTTTATTTTGCTACCTGCCATAAAATTACAGCAGAGTTTAAGATGCAGACTTGGGGATTTAAAAAAAAAATCTAAGTCCATTAAAATGACAGAGAAGTTTTCCCAACTGCCTGTTGCATTGTGTGCGTTATGATTCCCACAAGGTTTCAGCTTAGCAGAAAATCGGAGCTGCCTGGGCAGTGATGCTTCAAATTCCTTTAATTTGTGGCTCTCACTTAATTAGAAGTAGGCTTTAAATTAATATATGTGGAAAGTTAACATATTGACATGATATCACAGAAACGAAGAAACAACCCAATACCAGATTCTTCTGGAGCAGATTGGATTCAGGGTGGTAAGGTGTGGATGAGAGGGGTTTGTTCCTAATTTGGTTCTGTAAATAGTTTGTGACAATTTATTTATCCATGCAACTGAATTGCGTGGTTTGGGACTAAAGTTAGAACCAGCATGGCCTGTGCTTTGCAGTTTCTGTGCAGTTTCTTCTCCCTCCTCAAGGTACTGTTGAAGATACAGAAAAGACGAAAATTTTCCAAGAATATGCAAAACTAATATTGACATGGCATTAACTGTCAGTATTTTGCAGAAAATTCGACCAAACACTACATTTATGAAGAAGAATAATAGAGAAATCTAATCAGGTACACTTGCCAGATTTTGCTGGTTAGAATAGCAAACCTACCCCTGGGAAGACAGGCTGGAGCTTCCTTTCTCCCCCGCTGTCTGCTTCTTGGACCTGCATTCTGAGTATAAGGCATCCACCTAAGCACAAGATGTTCCGTCTGAGCTGCACAGGTGCCAGTTTCAAGGTCACCTGAATTCTACTGTGCCCATCCACAAGCAGTTGCCTTTTAAGCAATGTATTAGATGTCAGGGGAAAAATAAGAGAGGATCTAAGAGAATAGACTGTGGTACTTAGACTCAGGGAAACAAAATTAATCAGAAGAGAGAGAACTTACCTGAATTCTTGTTCAGCTTTTCCATGTGCTTAACTGAATGACTGTCATCCAGGGCTTTTCAAAATCCTATACTCTATACTACCTTAAAGTATTCTGAGTCAACTTCTAAATATTTCCACCTAACCTTGATTTTGTCAAGGTTTGCATAATTTAGTTGTGATCATATGAAATAAAGTTTTTTAACAAGTCCCCTTCTCAAAAAATATAGGTACTTGACCTCTATCCTTACTGTGTGACTATGAAACATAGATCTAGACACCAAAACCTGAGCTAAGTGCTGATTTTATCACTATGTACTTTAGGTTTTTGTCTGCCACTTGGAGGATCCTATTCACCTCTAATTGAACAATGGATAGGAGGGGCAAAGGGAGGCTAGGTTCCCTGCAGATTAACAAACATGAGTACTGGGGATAGAACTCCTCATTTTAGGAAGGGGAAAGAGAAGAAGACAATGTAGAATAATTTTTTCATCGTCCTGAAAAATCTATCTCTGGAAGTGATTTCACAAAAATTCTGCAAATGCAACAAATATTTTTGCCTCTTCAGTGTGATAGAAAAATTTATGAGTTCCATGAATCAGCAACCACAAGAATAAGAAAAGCTTGAGTTATGAAGGAACGAGGCTGGATGAATTAGGTGGGGTCTCAATCATTAAAGGAGAGTTAGTGTTGGGGGCAATAAAG